AGTGGTTCATAATTATGCTTATATAATTTCCCATTTGAAGTTAAAATGTTAACTCCAAGATATTTGACTTTTGACTTTTTAAACTACCTCACATCCTAGCATCACTCCTAATTCTTCCTTTTGTTCACTTTTAATAGACCTCTGAGTGACTGTTACACAACTAAAATTTCTCTTCCCAGCACAAACACACCTGTGGGACTTTGTAGATCCCTGATAGGGTTGAAATTTGGATAGAAACATCTATTTCAGCCCCTTCTAGAAGGGCCATGACATTTCTCTGTCTTCCACAGCTGTAGTTGGGAACATTGGCTTCCCCATCTGAAAGCAGGTCCAGCAGAGCATCCGAAGTCATTTGTGCACTGAAATATTGTTCATAAATATTGTAACCCAGGGTGATGTTGGGCAAGAGATTGGATTCCTTGTTGATCTCCTGGACAGCAAAAAGGAAGGAGAGCCTTTTCCAGTATTCTGGAAATGCTCTCCTGCAAATATCAACATATTAGAACGCAATCAATAAAACGCATTTGATTTCACTTTTTTTATTATAAAATGCATAATTGACTCAGGTCCAGAGGTGGTATTCAGCCGGTTCAGACCGGTTCAGCTGAACTGATAGTGGAAACCAGGGGTCAGCCCATCCACTTGCTCCAGCTCTATGCTGTCCTATTTAGGCATGCTTTCAAGCCAAAGCACATGGTGGAAGACTGAGCGCATGTGCGGACGGGGCACTTGTGAGTGAAGCAAGTGTGTAAGCACACTCATATTTGTGAACCGGTAGGGAAAGTAAGTGACTACCATCTCACCTCAGGTCCATTCTGAATGAATCACATTTTTTTAAAAAAAGTTATCTTTTAAGAAAACCTAATAAACTGCTTTAATAAAAGTCATCAGATCAGGTTCAAAGACATGATACCATTTTGTGATGGAAGTTACCTTCTGAAATATTTAAGAGTTGGAAGTTTGATCTATCCCTCTATATAAATATGGGACCATTAAACCCTAAAGTTGGAAATGCTACTCAGAGCACCATCCTCACCTTTAGACACATACACACAAACACACATTGAGGAGTAGCTGTGGCTGTTAACAAAGCCAAATGTTCACTGGGGAAATTTAGGTTTTGAAGTCCTTGAATGGAGACTTAACTGATATTGAAATCATTACATGGGTATGAAACCAGGAATCTGTAGGAGATGATTTGGCTGAGCCCAAGGGAGGGGTCAAGCATGTCATCAGTCTTGAATCCCTTCACACTCACAAGAGATCTATGTCCAACCCACCATGAATTCCACTCACTCTTATCTACTGCTAATTTGCTTTGACCATTCTTAGTTCAGATTCTTATAGAGAGCTAGCATCAGTGGTGGGTTGCCAATTCGGGCATGTGTGATACTTTTGCACATGCACAGAAGCGTCCGGGTGGGTGGGCGGAGCCTCCTGCTGCCGCTACTACCAGTTCGCCCTATCCGGGCCAAACCATCAACAATGCACCTCTGGCTAGCATGGAATAACAGAATAACAGAAAGGACCTTGGGGTTTTTTTTGGTCTGCTCTATCAGGAAACCTTATACTATATCAGATAACTGGTGGTCCAATCACTTCTTAAAAACTTTCAGTGTTGGGACATCTACAACTTCTGGAGTAAGTCGTTCCACTGGTTAATTGTTCTCACTGTAGATAATTTCTCCTCAGTTCTAAGTTGCTTCTCTCCTTAATTAGTTTCCACCCATTGCTTCTTGCTCTAACCTCAGATGCTTTGGGGAATAGCTTGACTCCCTCTTCTTTGTGGCAACCCCTGAGATATTGGAACACTGCTATCACGTCTCCCTTAGTCTTTCTTCTCCTTAAACTAGACCCAGTTCCTGCAACCGTTCTTCATATGTTTTAGCTTCCAGTCCCTTAATCATCTTTGTTGCTCTTCTCTGCACACTTTCTAGAGTCTCAACATCTTTTTTATATTCCTGATTTCTTGCACCTGAGAGAATCAGTTCAAAANCACAGGCCAACACTTTTCTGATTATATCTAGCTCTGATGGTATATTTTCTTTTTTCCAATATTGTGCATAAGTTATGCGCGCTGCAGTTAGTACATGTATAATTAGATAAAGTGTATCTTTCTTAAACTCTTCCGGTATTATACCTAGGAGAAAAAATTCTGCTTTATAGCACTTTGAGAAGTGTACAATGTCAGTATATTACCCCAAACAATCTGGGTCCTCATTTTAATGATCTTGAAAGGATGGAAGGCTGAATCAACCTTGACCAGATCAAGATCGAACTCCTGGATATGGGCAGAGTCAGCCTGCAATACTGCATTCTAACTACTGCGCCACCACCATGAGCAAGGAAGGAGAATTTTAGACCCAAGCAACAAATCAAAAGATGTCTTTCCAGGGAAAACAACTCCCTGACACAACTTTATGTTCCAAAGAAACCAAAACTGTCAGTTCAGTCATAAGACCATTATATAGATTGGATGATAAAGATAAAGGATAGGAAGGAAGCAAAATCATTATCTCAGTTACCAAACCTTTAGAAGACCAAATAATGCTGAGAAGATGTGAGGAGATCCCAGGAGGGGAACCCAGAATCTGAAATCAGAAGACAGTTTGATAAACTCCATGAGATTAATACCTTAGAAAGAACTTGTGTTCATCAAACTTGTTTATTACTTCCGTACTAGGACCTTGCACAGAAAATGACTAGAGTCTCTCTTCTTCCTAAAGTCTTACCTACCTTCCTGGGTGGAGATGGTTCCTTTTGCACAAGGAAGACAATCATAGCAGCAGATGGGCTCCCCTTCCCGGGCTACTTTCACAAATCCAGGATGACAGCTTTCTACACATCTGGAAGGAGGTAAGGGCTGAGGAGAGAGAGAGAGAAAAACATTCAGAAAATAAATTTATTTCATGAAAGGAGACAAAGAAGGCAGAAGGACTTGGTGATCTGAAATTCAAGACTGAGTTTCACTTATTTTGAAGGCTATAAAAATGCTGGAGCTCATCCAACAGATTCAGGTGGATATTGCTTCCATGTTATCCTCATTTTTCAGACTGCAAGTTTTAGATTCACACTCTACATTTATATACACGTAATTACTTAAGGAAAAATAGAATGGATATTTTGCTTTGGTAAAATTAATCCTGTTGCCCATGAATCAAATCTAACTACATTTAACAGGACTAATAAATAATAAATAAATAAACCAAATAATAACTACTAATAGATAAATTAGTGAAACTAATAAACATAAATAAACATGAAGAACAATGACAGGAATCGGGGTATGTCTAGTCTAATGAAAAGAAAGACTAGGGGAACAGTGATAGCACTGTTCAAAACTATTTTCCAAAGCCCCTAAACAAGAAACAATGGTTGGAAACTAACCAAGGAGAGAAGCAACCTGGAATTAAGGAGAAACTTCCTAACAGTGAGGACAATAAACCAGTGGAATGGTTCACATCCAGAAGTTGCAAGTGATCCATTACTGAAGGCTTTCAAAAAGAGAATGGATAACCATTTGTCTGAAATAATATGGGGTTGCCTGCTCGAGCAGCAGGTTGAGGACCTCTGAGGTCCCTTTCAACTCCATTATTCTATCTTCTAATTATAATAAATACATAAGGGTACATTTCTTATGAAAAGCTAGACAGTTAAACAAAGAATTGTCTTGGACAAATTGATGAGATTCAATTTGTCCAAGAGAAATTGGACAGTTCCTGTCCAAAGAATGCAATCTAATTGGTAAGAGGTTCAGCAAGCATGAAATAAACATATTCCCACCTTCAACCCTTCCATCTCAGAGGACAAATTTGGATTGATCATAAATGTGAAATCCTTTGATCCTTGTCTTTCTAGACTTCCAAACTTTACTTTGTTAATAAAGGTTTTGGAGAAAATCACCCAGTTCATAAGGTCCAGGTCCGATGCCAGGTCTCCATTTTCATTCAAATAAACTCCTTCTATGGAATTATTGTAAAACTGAGAACTTTGAAGGAAGGAGTGAAGCTGGCATAGAAGAGAGAATGATTATTCTTACAATGGATACCCAACATTCTATGGTGTGTTGGGGATAAACAGAAGATCTCACTGTCTACATACCAAATGAAGATAATCAGATAAATTTTCCAAGTAAAATGAAGCCCAAAAAGAAACTTTATGTCCATACATTGCATGAATATCTGAAAAGCTCAGGAGGATTTTCAACCAACACAATATATAAACACACTTTAAACCCAAAAATACACTAAGGCAGAAGCTTTCAGAAAGAGTGCTAATGATTAGATGGCTGCAAGGAACATAAATCAGTCTAGTTCAGATGTATAGATGTACATGGCAAGAAAAATGAATTTTGCAACACGGATGGCATAGGGAACAAAGCTGTTACAGAATCTAGTAGTCCTGCTCAAAATACTTCGGAACCTTGTCCCAGAGGGGAACAACAGAAACAGACCATAAAGTGAGTGTGTGGGGTCTCTAATGATGCTTTGAGCTCTAAGTGTATAGCGCTTATAAGCAGCATCCTGAATAATGGAAAGCAAGCTTCCTGTAATCTTCTCTGCTGTCCTCACCACTCTCCGTATATACTTTCTATCTGAGGCACTGCTACCACCAAACCAAATAGTGATGCAGTTTGTTAAAATGTTCTCAGTCATATCGCTGTAAAAAGTGGCCAGGAGAGAAGGAGAAAGATTTGCTATTCTCATCCAAGACAGGAAATGGAAACGCTGGTTTGCACGCTTCACTAAAGATGACGTGTGGAGAGACCAATTCAGATTATTGGTTATCTGAACCCTCAGATACTTAATATTGCTGATCCCCCCTACCTTTCCTGATAAATGGAGTTAAGGCTCATTCTCATATGGAGACTCAAACTGAGGCAGGTCTGACATCTGCCAAAAAAGCCAACACAATTCTGGGCTGCATAAACAGAGGGATAGAATCAAGATCATGTGAAGTGTTAATACCACTTTATAATCCCTTGGTAAGGCCACACTTGGAATACTGCATTCAGTTTTGGTCGCCACGATGTAGAAAAGATGTGGAGACTCTAGAAAGAGTGCAGAGAAGAGTAACAAAAAGGATTAGGGGACTGGAGACTAAAACATATGAAGAATGGTTGCAGGAACTGGGTATGTCTAGTTTAATAGAAAGAAGGACTAGGAGAGACATGATAGCAGTGTTCCAATATCTCAGGGGTGCCACAAAGAAGAGGGAGTCAAACTATTTTCCAAGGCACTTGAGGGTAGAACAAGAAGCAATGGGTGGAAACTAATCAAGGAGAGAAGCAACTTAGAACCAAGGAGAAATTTCCTGACAGTTAGAACAATTAACCAGTGGAACAGCTTGCCTCCAGAAGTTGTGAATGCCCCAACACTGGAAGTCTTTAAGAAGATGTTGGATAGCCATTTGTCTGAAACGGTATAGGGTTTCCTGCCTAGGCAGAGGGTTGGACTAGAAGACCTCCAAGGTCCCTTCCAACTCTGCTATTGTATTGTATTATCTCATTTCAACCCTGAGTTACAAATATTCTCCTTTATTAAAGAACCTATTGATAAAGAAAGGAAACAAGAGAAAGGGATTCAAACGAGAGATGATCTGGAAAGTTGGGATCCAATTTAATGTTTATCTTTCAATATAGGAATATATATAGAATATATAATTATTATAATACACACACAGACACACACATACATGAGAATATATATAGTTCTCCCATGTATAAAACTGATTCTTATCTGCAGAAAATGATGAGTAGCAGAAAAAAATACCTGCCAAGCCTTCAGCCTTGGAGACTCTGAGCGCTTCCCCCCT